TGTTAGCGAGTAATCCAGATTCGTTCTTTTATGTGTGGCTTTCTGACTTTCCCAGCATCATCCATTAGGTGCTTTATCATAAGTTAGGTACTTGTAGATACATGATTTCTGGAATTCTGATTCTGTCCCATTGGTCCTTGTATTTATTTTTATGCCAATACCATATTGTTTTAATACTGGCACTTTATACTAAAGTTTGAAGTCAGGTAATATGACCCCGCCATTTCTTTCCTTTTATTCTTAGGGTTGATTTTGCAATTTGAGGCCACTTTGTGGTTCCACATAAATTTCAATATTTTTTGTTCAGTTTCTTTGAAAAATATTACAAGTATTTTGATGGGGATTGAATTAAATTTGTATATATTTTTTAAGATTTATTTATTTATGCATACAAGAGCTGAGGGACAGGCCAGAGGTGTGGGGGGTGAGAGGATTCACCAGAGACAGAGTGGAACAGAACAGGCAGATCGACGGAAATACACTGCTGAGGGGAGCAGCGGGCGAGCCAGGAGAGGTCTGCTGTGCCGTGTGGTTCCTCCCTGGCTGGTTAGGGGATGGAAATTGTGCTGCAGTGGTTGCGGACTGCTTCACAGTTGCATCTTAACCCCCTGCGCCACCAGGGAGGCCCTAAATTTGTGTATTATTTTAGACAGGGTAGTAATTTTGATTATATTGATCGTCCATGTCCATGATTAGGTTGATACTGAGGTATTTCTTTTTGAAGCAATTAGAAATGGAATTCTTTATTTCTTTTGCTTCTTGTCCATTGTTCACATATAAAAAGGCTATGGTTTTTGTATGTTGATTTTGTAATTGCCACTTTGCTGTATTCATTTATGTTTTCTAATAACTTTTTGATAGAGTCTTTACTATCTTCTTTATATAATATCATCTGTGAACAATAATAGTTTCCATTTTTTCCTCCTTGGATTACCTTTAATCTTTGTCAAATCTTCTTTATTTTAATAATTGCATAATATTCCATGATAAAGATTTACAATATTTTATCTAATAACACCAGTACCAAAGGATATAAGGTTATTTGTGACATTTTGCTATTACAAATAATGCTTCAATTTAAAATAAATTTACATCTATTTGTTTTGCACATATGTATAAGCGTATTACTGTAGGACAAGTTCCTGGAATTGGAATGGCTGCATTAAAAAATATTTGCAAATTTCAATGTCTGATGATATGTTCCTAAACTATATATTTCCACCTATGTTCTGGGGAAATATTCATTTGGTGGCAAGCTTAGCAACACTAGAAAATATTGATTCTTTAATTTTTGTCCATCAGTTGGACAAAAAAATGGTATCTCATGCTTTCAAATTCATTTCTCAAATGACTGGAGAGCTATACATCTCTCATTATATTCACAAGTGGTTTTCACTTGTGCTGTACATGATTCGTTCATCTTTACTTATGTCTGGGAATATTTGCCCAATCAAAAAAACTGGCTTATACTTTGCTCTTTTGATCATTATCCATATTAAAATCCATATCTATATTCAGGCTGATATTCTTGAGCCTTTCTTAACTATAAACAAAAATTATTCCTTAAGATTAGGCTACAGGCTATTTAGTGGTTCTGGGCTTTGTACATGGAGTCAGACTGACCTGGATTAACAGGCTACATCATGGACTTGCATGGAGCTGAAGGAAAGCTCTTACCTTCTCTCTGCCTTTGTTTCTATTCTTTTTAAAAACAATTATAATAAAAGTACTAAATTTATACAGTTATTATAAAATTTAGACAAGATAATAATGTATTATTTTAGCACAGTAAGCACATTATAAATCATGACTTATAATGTGGACAATGGAGAAACAGAATTAAAGTTTTATTTCAGGCCCTAGAACCTTTTCCAATGAAAGGTATTCCTAATAAGAGCCAATAAAACTTCTTTTACTTAGAGTGCCATTTTACCTTATGTTTCAAGCAGCCTTATGCCATTCCTATTTTCTAGAACACTAAAATATCCAACTTAATTATTAATTTAGCAGTAACTCTTGAGTTCCTACTATGTTTAGGATCCAGGATATTCAATTCCATTTTATTCAATTCAATTTTATTCAATTCAAGTCCATTTTATTTTCTCTGCATGGAACTTCCTCTATTTTCTTTTGTAAAAGTGAACATCTAAATTCCAATGAAGAGAGAAAATTAGAAAATAAGAATCTTTGATATGATCTCTCTTAACTTTTTATAGCCGTGGAAACGTAGACCCAGAAGAGTGCCACCACTTTCCTAAGGTCACGCACGCCGAGAGTTGGTGAGGGCCCTGGCAGGAGAGCCCAGGGAGGCAACCCCGTGTCAGCCCTCTGTGACTCAATCACACTAGGCTCAAGACTCCACTCCTTCTTTTGTCCCAACATGATTTCAAACATAAAAACAAACAGAGCAACACAGGTTAAAAACAGACACATCAAAATGAGCCAGTGCCGGGCAGTGTGTGTCAGGAGGCAGAGCTTGCTGGGAAACATCTTCTCATTTTGGCCAGTGGGACTGCATTCCAGCCCTCCTGGAGTGTTTCGTCTCCTCTCAACACCCCGTATTTAACCACCATGGTCTATGCTCCCAGCACAGACAGTAAACAACAACCCCACAGGTCACTGGCTGGCAATCCCCGCTCTACATGCGTAAGATGCTGCAGGTGCCAATTTCAGGAGGCAAACAACCTGGCTACTCAGGCAGATTTCCACCCCTATCATTTCCAGTAGTTACACCCATAATTGTCTCCACCCTCTTGCCAGAATTTTCAAGGGCAACACCCTAACATGGCTTCTGATCTGGCACAGGTCCCCTCCTGACCTTCCAGAATCCCAGGCATAGCGATTTGACACTTTACTTTGAGAAGCCAGTCACCACTGCTCCCTCTGAGACTAATGAATAAGTAGTCGCAGTATTTGTTACATAAAATGCTAAATTTTGACTTTAATTTTTCATTTCCTTTCTTCTCTGCGATCTTACAGCAATAACACAATAACACATCCTTGACTATTAGTAGCTATCACTTAAGAATATACTGGAAGCCAAACCTGCACCAATCTAATGGATAGTGCCGTAGCTAACTTAAGAAGGGTAGCGCATTCCCAGTCGATAAATTATGGGTAGGAATTTGGGCAAAATTGCTATTGATTTGTTCAATTGGTCAGAGCTTGTTATGTTATTGGCTATTAGTCCTGATGCAGCCGTTCAGGTTAGGAATATCCATAGGTGATCTATAGCGAGTGGGTCAGCCAGACTATCTGGTTTTGAATTATTTTTCTAGCAAGTGAATAATTTTGTCACTTTGGGTAAATTATTTAACCTTTCTAAATTTCATTTTCCTCGTTGTATTATAAGGATCGTAATAATACTTACTCCCCAGAGTGCCCACTTCACGTTGATGTGAAGATTACATTAAACCATTTTGTACAGTGCCTACCACGTAGTAAATGCTTAATAATTATCAGACACAATTTAATTTCTACTGCACTACAACCCACAATTAGAGGGATTTAAAGGTTAGACATGAGATGATCCCTCAACACTGAAAATCTGGAAGTAAGGTTAACAGATATTTAAAGGGCTCCTTGTTTACCAAGTGTCCGGCGAGTGCTCCCCTGTATCATGAGTGCATTGGCTTTGGGGTTAGAAAGATGAACTGAATCTTCCCCGTCCTTTTGTGGAGAGAGGTTGCATAACTGGGAAATGCACTGTAACCCCCGGTTTAGGATTATAAATATTGGCGATCCAAAACAGAAAAATGAATTCCTTTCTCTTAGGATAGATTTTAAGTTGTCTTCCTGGCTGGGCCAGGAGCAGTTTCAAAGGGAGAGGTTCCCTCTGGGCCTTTATCAACTGAATCCCAAAGGGGGCCCCAAGTCTGGGCGCAGCTTGGATTCCCGGTTAGGCTGTTTGCTCCGAGGCCGAGAGGCCTCCAGAGCTGCTAACAGGGCCACGCTAATCCAAGAGGGCAAGGGATAGCGATCTATCTGTCCTGGTGTTCTTCCAGACCAAAGTAGAGATGACTCAGAAGTTTAGCTACCCTGGGCCTAGGGTTTAAGTGTCAGCCCTATTACCACGCAGGGCCTGTTGAGGTGGCCTGAATTTGATCCCCAGCCAGGGAGCTGACCCACATGGCGCAGCAGACCTCTCCTATCTCCCCGCTGCTCCCCTCAGCAGTGTATTTCTTCAGTCTGCCTGTTCTGTTCCCCACTCTGTCTCTGCTGAATCCTCTCACTCCCCCCCCCACCTCTAGTGTACGCCCCAGCTCTTCTATGCAAAATAAGTAAAATCTTAAAAAAAATGTTTAGCTACTTCCAATAGTATCAGAATAATTTCTGACTTGATATCAACAATAACAGTAATAGCTTATGTTTGCAGTATTTTATATCCTCAACTTGTGTCCATTTGCATCTCTCTCACTTCAGAGTCTGGAGGCCCCGCCAGGTGACTCTCATCATGCATAATTTATGCATGGAAGATGGAGCCCCGGGCACTCTAAGAGCTTCCCTTGGAAAGAGCAGAGCTGGCAAATGGAAGACCAGGGATGAGTACCCAGGATTCTAGCTAAGGTCTGGGCAGTATCTTGGGCTTCTTGGAAACCTACGCCAGCCCTGGGAGAGCACTGCATGCAAAGTTAAGGGGCTACACAGGCAGCTTCCGTGGGATGCATCCTGCACCCTGTGCATTGGGCTCCATCTTGTACCCAGGGAGCTGTCTTCCTTTGACACCATGTCCTGGAAGAATATCTCTTCACCCTCTGTCCTGCCATTTGACAGCATCCCACCAAATTTTGCAACGCAACATGCCCTGGGTCTACACAGTCCTTTAAAGACTGTATTAGAAAATGTTGGAATTACAAATTACATCCAGTTTGGAAAAACTTCAACAACCTTTTCTAATGACCTTCAAAAGGTGAACCATCAATTTAAAATGCATCGTCAGCCTCTGTCTTCACTGTTTTCAGTCACACTGTCCACCAGAGGAGAATTACCTCGTCCTTGATCCCTGGAGTCACAGTCCTTTCTCGCTACCTCATCCTTGTCTTCATACACTTGTGCTTATTACCCCAGCGAATGGCTGGAGCTGGTGATGCAACTCTCACTCCAACTGGGAGTGACTGTCCTTGCACAGTGTCCTCCCCAGGGCAGCCTTGACCTCTGCATTCCTCAGGCTATAGATCAGCGGGTTGAGCATAGGGTTGAAAAAACTGTAAAACAAGAAGAGGATCTTCTGCTGCTCCTCGGGGTGGCGGGACTTGGGGGCCATGTACATGATGATGGCGCTGCCAAAGTAGAGCCCCACCACGCACAGGTGGGAGGAGCAGGTGGAGAAGGCCTTTCTGCGGCCCTCCCCAGACTGGATCCTGAGGATGGCCGCCAGGATGCGCATGTAGGACACCAGCACCAGGCAGAGGGGCCCCACTAAGATAAACACACAGGCCACGAAGATGACTGCCTGGTTGAGCCAGGTGTCCGCACAGGCCAGCTTGAGGACAGACAGGATTTCACAGAAGAAGTGGTTGATCTCATGGGGCCCACAAAAGGGCAGCCTCAGGATGAGGCTCACGTGGACCAGTGCCAGGAGGGCGCCGCACACCCAGGAGGTGACCGCCAGGGCGATGCACACTTTCCAGCTCATGATGACAGAGTATCGGAGCGGGTGGCAGATGGCCACGTACCGGTCATAGGACATCACCACCAGGAGAAGACATTCAACATGAGCAAAACTCAAAAAGAAAAAGGTCTGTGTCATGCAGCCAGCAAAGGAGATGGGTCTGGCTGGGTCCAGGAGGTTCACCAGCATCTGGGGCACCGTGTTGCAGGCGTAGGCTATGTCGACGATGGCCAGGTAAGAGAGGAAGAAGTACATGGGGGTGTGCAGTCTGGAGTCCAGCGAGATGAGCCCCAGGATGACCCCGTTCCCCAGCAGGGTGAAGACATAGAACAGGGAGAATATTCCAAAGAGAAGCACCTGAATCCTTGGGCCAAGGCCAAACCCCAACAGGATGAACTCGGTAACCACTGTGTGATTTTCCCCCATTCCACTCTGAGGAAGATAAAATGATAACTTAGGATAGAATTTCCAAAAAACATCTGGACATTATTGTATAAATTCAGTCATTCTTGAAAGATAAATTTGTATAATTAATGTCCTAGTTTCACCTAAAGTTAATCACTTAATTTGATATTCAATTTTATAGCAAGGTTATTACCACAGATAGGCTACCTGGAGCCACTGACTCTTGTGATGGGAAGAAAGAACATTAGACTAAAATGTGAAATAGAAGTACCATAAAATAGAGGCTTTGACCTACATGTGTGAAAATTATTAAGAGAATTCCTGGAGTGCATAATAATGAGTCATGGAAGAATTCTAAATATGAGAATTAGAGTTGTCCTAGACAAGAAATGTCATTCTAATTTCTCAATAGAAATATCAACTGCGGGGCCTCCCTGGTGGCGCAGCGGTTGAGCGCTAGGCTGCGAAGCTACCTGAAGCCTCTGCAGTGCCGGTTCCATCCTGGCTGCCAGCGAGGGTCCCCACATGGCGCGCAGACCTCTTCTGCCGCCCGCTGCTCCCCTCAGCAGTGTACTTCGGTCCTTCTGCCTGCTCTGCTCCCCGCTCTGGCTCTGGTGAATTCTCTCACCCTCCCGCACTTCTGACTGTACCCAGTGCTTGTATAAATAAATAAATCTTTTAAAAAAATTTAAAAAAAGAATAACTGTAAAACCTACAAAATACTTAAGCACTATACACTTGAAAGACAATTCCATTTTCTTTTTAACCCTTATTTTATTATTCATGAAATCAAAAGTATCTTATCTGAATTCAAAGGGACTACATTTGCCAAAGGTCTAGCGGAAGTGAGAGGAGAAAATAAACAAAAAACTAAATACATCCCAGTTGCAAATGTAAATTCAGGCATTGTTGTATACTTTTCAATGGTTTATATGTATGTACATGTTAGCAATTTCAAAATTGGCAAGCTGTTCGATGACTAATAAATAATCTGCTATCTCTATGGTTTCAAGTAAATAGCTAAGATTGAAATCATTTCTTTACTCGTCAACAAACCTGTCAGTACTAGATGGAGGGTTTCAAAGAGTGAAATTTAAGATCTGATGAGCTGACGAACTCTATTCCAGGGGTGTGGGTGTAAGGCCCATAGCATCCCTCCAATGAAAGCTGTTTAAGCCCTCAGTTCAACTCAAGTCTTGGGTGGTTCAGTTTCCAGGAATGAGAAATATCTGTTGTGACTACGCTACTCAATAGCGTCCTCTGCTTTTTCTCTTGTAGTTCAAAATATTCCCAAATTTCTCTTGTGATTTCTTCTTTGACCCATGTGTCTTTCAGAAGGGTGGTATTTAATCTCTGAGTGTCTCGGAATTTTCCAGATATTTCTCTGTTACCAATTTCCACCTTAATTCCATTGTGGCCTGAGGGCAGTCATCATATGATTTCGATTCTTTTTAATTGGTTCAGTTGTTTTGTGGCCCAGAATGGGGTGTGCCTTGGTGATTGTTCCATGTGACTTGAGAAGAAAGTGTATTTTGTGTTATTGGATGAAACAGTACAGTTTTCCACCCTATCCAGCTGATTGATGGTGTGGCGGAGATTAGCCTGTGGGATCTGTCCATCTTTGCTGATGGGATGCTGATGTCTCCAGTGATAACAGTGGATTCATCTCTTCTTCTTTCAGTTCTATCAGATTTAGCCTCATGTATTTTGATTCCCTGTTGTTAGATGCACACATGATGAGGGGTATTGTGTCTCTTTATGTCACAGACCTCTCTACCATCCTTGTTTTGAATTCTTGCTCTCTCTTAATGACTGTGTCTCCCTGCACCTGTTCCTGTGCCTAATTAAATTATCTCTCTGTATTAACATCTCTTTTCCTAGTCCCCTTGGTGATATTTTCTCTTCATTTCCAATTTTCTTTATCTCTGCATGATTTCCCTTTCTCAAAATCTCTCTTTCCAATCTCCTTAATAAGCATTTCCACAGTATTGCTAGATATTTGTCTATAGTTCCAGTGTTAGACTGGTTTTAAAGAGGATTTTGATTACATAGGAAGACTGCATTCTGGGTAATTATCTTATAAGCAACCTTAGAGAATACTATCTCATAATTCATAATGGCAGTGATATTTGCCAATCTACTTACCTGGGATATTGAAATAGTTGCTCTTAACATCATAGTGTCCATTAAAGCTGTGTAATGACACTTCACAATTAATTCATCAGAACTTTTAAAATATACATATATCCTTATACTGAAGAAATAATTTTAATACAATGTGTAATTTACAAAACATATATTTGGTCATGCATAGTGCCTACACGTGTTAGGTGTTTAATAAATATTTGTTGACTCTAGATCAATTTGACTAGACCAGAGAAAACAAAACTCTAGCAAGTTTCCACAATCTGCCTTAGACCAGATTCCCAAGCAAAAAGAGAAAAAAAAAAAACACTGATAGGCACTTGAAAAGACAAGGAAGAACATGCATTAAGTGCTCAGACAGGCAGTTGCTATTTGCATGGTTTTGAGAATATTTCTTACCTTTCTATAAACCACATTCCATTTTTTTTTTAAGTAGACAAATTACAGTGTCTATTTCATGAAGTCACTGTGAAGAGTAGTTGAAACAATCCAGGCTACACCTTGACTGTGTTCCCACCACACAGGATGCCTCAGTAGCTGGGATCAGTGTTATCAATCTCTAGCAGCCTCTGAAATTGTGTGGATCTGACAAACATGGTGTCCTCATGGTCAAACCAGCCCCCAGGAATCATTCCCCTTATTGGCCATTATTCCCTGAAAACAGCTTATAGATTCTGGATGATATGTCAACAATATGGATAACATGTCGCTAAAGGATTAACAAAGCAGATTTTACCTCCTGACCTTCTTAGGTCTTATGTGCAATCAGGCGAAGAGCTATTCGGAATTAAAAAGCACACAACAGTGACAATTCTATTAAAAATTGAAGAGATGATCCTTTAGGTAACAATTCCTTTGTTTTCCTGCTGTTCCCCTCCCACCTCAACTACACTGACACACAGACCAACACACACACGCACACACGCATTCCTCATTTGGCAAACACTACCTTTTAAAAGTATCATCAAATCTACCCTAAGGACACAAAAGCATTAATTCAAAAAGGAAACCTGCACTCCTATGTTCATACAATAGCTAAAATATGGAAGCAACCTAAATGCCCCAGAACAGATGACTGGATTAAGAAGATGTGGTATATCTACACAATGGAATATTACTCAGCAATCACAAAAGATAAACTCATGCCATTTGCAGAAACAGCGATGTAAAAATATATAAATAAAAATTTAAAAAGAAAAAATAAAAGTATTCATTGAATGCCTTCGGTGAGCCTGGTGTATTTCTCCAAGTTATGGGGAATGGGCGAGGCATGTACTGCGGTTTTGTTGTTGATGAGCCATAAACACAAGGACAGAAGTAATATCAGGTTCCCTGAAATGCAAAATCCCTCCATTTACACCCCAGTGCAATCTTCTTTGGCTTAAGTCAATTACTCCGTATATTTACCCTCCCTCTGTCACACAGACGTTTCTCACTCTTTTATCAACGTAGCCAAGGTCACTCAGCTGTGCAGACTTCTCTGGTGCATAAAAGGAAATTAAGCCAGTTCTAGACAGACTTCCCTTATTTGTGGACAGTATATTCAAGTCAGTTAGCATAACTATCCCTCACTGCCCACAGAGAGTGATAATCAGCACATACTTAGAATTTCCTTATCTATACTTAAACACAAGAGCAGTATAAGAGTTAAAAAAGAGCTGACAATAGACTAGATAGGACAGCATGACTAATGGAAATTGATGGCAAATAAAATAAGGTAACCTGGCCAGCGCCTGTGTTGTCTCTGGGACCTCAAAGGGGAAAAGCAGCCGAGGTGGGGCAGGTTCTGCTCTCTGGCAGCTTTTAGGGGAACCGCAGAGTCTTCCCTTCTGCTCCTGATTGGAAATGTGGCCGATGTCTCAGAAAAGGGGGTTTTATTCTCAGATGGGCCCAGTATCTCTGTAGGGCTGCCTGGAGGGGGTGGTCTGTGAGATGCAGTGTGTGCCACCTCCCCTGGGAAGAGAGACAAAACACTTCTTTTGTTCTGGTTCCTGCCCCACCCTCAGCAGGAAGCACAGAGACACAGAACACACCTCTGAGAGGACAGCGCTCATTAGCGCCCCGATTCGCAATGTGGTTTGATTTCATGAATCCCAGCACTGCCCTAGTTCCCAAATCTCCAGGTGGTTCAGGTGAGCCTGTGAGGACGCAGGACCAGGGGACAGAGAAGATACTCCAGCATCCACCTATGTGGCCCAGCTTCTCCCCGCTGCAGTGGGGCCCCTTGTGTCTCAGCGGCGGTGGGAGGAAAGCTCCCTGAACAATCGGCTGACTTGATTCTGCACTGAAGGTGAGGAGGTGCTGTGCGGAGCTGGTTCTGGTGACTGGGGCATTAGGGGGTCCAGAGAGAGAACAGGAGTCCCATTGGGACTTATTAAAGAACTTGCCTGAGGGAGATTTTCTGGGACACAAATCACCGACAAAAGCAGGTTGACCTTGGGAGGATCTCTCTAACCTCTCTTCTGAAGAGGGCGCAGAAGGACTCTCCCTCAGGTGAGGAAGGAAACGCACTCCCAAGGCAGCTTCCCTAGAGTGACCTCTCCCAGGGGGACGGAGGGATGTGCTGCCTTAGGTGTTCTCATCTTATTTATATTTCCTTTTTTAAAAAGATTTATTTATTTATGCACACAAGAACTGGGGTGTAAGCCAGAGGTGTGGGGGGGTGAGAGGATTCACCAGAGACAGAGTGGGGAGCAGAACAGGCAGATTGACTGAAATACACTGCTGAGGGGAGCAGCAGGGAGACAGGAGAGGTCTGCTGCGCCATGTGGGTCAGCTCCCTGGCTGGGGATCGAACTTGTGCTGCAATGGCTGGTGATAGCTTCATAGTGCTGTCTTGAGCCCTTCTACAATTCAACACCTGGGATAGCCATTATCTTTATGCTACCCCTCCTAATTGAGCCAGAGAGCCCTGTAACATTTGTTCGCCTTTAAATATCTTCTTTTTCTCTTTTCTTTCCCTACCTGGGTGGTTTGTAGGTTTCCATCTTTGAGCTCACTGACTCATTCCTCCAGGAGGTCTAGTCTTCTTCCATACCTTTCCCTAACACTCTTTTCTAGTTCGAATCTCTGTTAGTTTCTTATCCAAAGCTCTAATTTCTATTGTCTCTTCCTTAATTTTATTCCTGAGCTCCCTGAGTGGCTTTTCTGAGTTTCTGATAGCTATTTTGAATCACTATCTGATAGGGAGATACAATCTTCCGTCTTTGTGTGTGGCTTTTGGAGATGTGTCATTCTCTCCTCCTGATATCACACTACCTTGAGATCTCAGATCTCCAGGTGCTACATTTTTCAGCCTGCACACTTTTTGCTACTTTAAATGATCCGTGGCTTTAAAAAAAAAAAAAAAAAAAAAAAAAAAAAAAAAGGTCTGTATCTGCAATTTAGAGCTCAACTGCCTGTCTTTTACTTTTCCAGCAGGTGGTGCTCTGGCTTTATATTTTTTGGTTACTGCGGTTTATTTTAGGTGCTTCAAGGACTTGAGGAGCTGCAAGGCTGGGGGTGGGGCACGAAGGGGGTGGACCACTGTGAGGATGTGCTGTGGGAGTTCTGCTTCCGGTGCCTGGATCTCTGTATCTCTCCTGTTTGGGCTTCCAGATCTGAGTCTTGGCACTCTGTCTCCTGTGGGTACCCACATATGGTGCCATTATAGGTCCCATGGGCTGGGGCGGAGGTGGGGACATGTAGCCTAGAGCGCCTTCTCTGTGGGGTTCCTGTCTGTGTGGAACATCTCAGCTCCCCAGCTTTAGTCGAGCCCAGGGCACTGGCCTCCACACAGGATCTGCTCGCCCCTTCCCAGGGTTCTGCCCTGTGTGCTCCCCAGATGGCCGGCCATCGCTACACTTAACTGCCATCCCCCTGAAGAGTGATCTCCTGGGCATTCATCCCTTCTATGCACCTGTCTCGGAGGACTCTGCAGTTTTGCCACCTTGCTGCATCCCCACCCTGGGTGATTCTTACTTGTATCTCTTGTGAACCAGTAAAGAGCAGCCTCCGTCACCATCTGGGTAATATCCTTAGTGTGAACTCTGCGTCTTTTCTTTAGTTCTCTTTTCGTACTCAGATGAACTGCATAAAATATGGAAATTACGAAATGGATGTAAATGACAAAAGTCCATGTAAAACAATCATTTTAGGTCTTTTTTTTCTTATATTCAATACCATGTCAACATCAGTTCTTCTTTTGTTTCCTGTTGTTCGAGATTCCAAATAAACTTCTCCCTTTTTAACACGCAGAGAACAGCCAGAGCTGCATTTCCAGCCCTGCTGCATTTGGGTGGTGGTCGGTTTGGGGGAGAGGATGTCATATTCTTACCAAAGGAATATGAGCTGAAGGAAATTGTGCCCCTTCTTGGGTTGCGGTATGATGCAATTATGATCCCTGCACTGTCACTCTGCCCATCATTGATTGGAAGTAAAGGTCTCCACATGCACACCTGTGCACACCTGCACACACCTGCACACACCTGTGCTCCCCCATCCCCTCACATGAGTACATATATAGCTGGAAGTTTCAATCACAAAGTGAGAAATATATTTTCTTTCTTCATTTAACTATGAATTTGCTTCATTTAACTGAGAAATTGCTGTTGTAACTCATTATAGATAATACTTAATAGCTTATTTTTAATAGCTGCATGATTTACTTATAATTTAGTAACTCAAAACTTAAAATCATTAGTTTTCTTAGAATCTTTGCAATAAATTTAATTCAAAACACTTGCACAAATTTCCTTGTGATGTTACATATGTATTTCGCTAGAATAGATTGTTAGGATTGGTATTCATAATTTAAGTGTTTAGTAGATTATTTCCAAATTTTTATCATCCAAAGTTTGGGCCAGTTTATATGTCCACTAACAGTATGTGTTTATTTTTACCCACATACTCATACTCACTAGTAATAAAGAATTGTATCATTCTCTTGAAAAACAATCTATTGGGCAAAAAAAAAAAAATAGTATCTCATATTAAAGTAAAATTTCCTCCCGAGAATGAAGGCATTGCCATATTTACTGGAGATTTTGGTTTATTCTGTGAATAGTATGAATATCCACATTTAAATTTTTTTATAAAGTTTTTTTTTAAGATTTATTTATTTATGCATACAAAAGCTGGAGTACAGGCTAGAGATGCGGGGGGTGAGAAGATTCACCAGAGACAGAGTGGGGAACAGAACAGGCAGACTGATGAAATACACTGCTGAGGGGAGCAGCGGGAGAGACAGGAGAGGTTTTGCTGCACCATGTGGGTTGCTCCCTGGCTGGCTGGGGATCGAACTCGTGCTGCAGAGGCTGCAGATTGCTATATAGTGCGGTGCTTAACCCTTTGTGCCACCAGGGAGGCTCCACATCTAAATGTTTTTGTCCAGTTGTCATGGATTCGTAATTTCTAAAGTGTTATCTGTATTACTATCTTTTTTTAGGATGGCTTTTATGACCAGTGAAAAATTCATGGGTACTTTTCTTGAGCTTTGCTTATTGGTAGAGAGAAGAGAAAAGACACCATTGGCTCAGGATGTGTAGGGGCTGTATGACTTATAATTATGGCGTGGTCTTTGGCCTTTGGGAGACCTAGATGAGGGTACTGCTGTTCCTCGCATTAGCTGTGTGAACACAGAGAGGTAACTGACATCTCTGTGCATTAGTTTTTCATGTAAAAATGGACTATAATAGTAAAAGCTACCTCTGACAACTTTGTGAAGATTACATTGAGATTCACAGCTCTCTATGCTTGTAGAACAGATGCAGAATAAACACCCGAGAAATGCAAGCCACTTATGTCACTATAGCACTTAGGCAATATCAGCACAGAGTTCGAGATCTGGCACTCTAATGAATGAATCGTATTCACAGTCCTTTCCAAAGAGAATAACAAAGCAACTTTTTTCCTTACTGAGAATAGTTCATGTGGAGCTACTTATTCTCCACATCTTATGTCATTCATCTTATGTCATTAACCTATGCAAATCATTCATTAATTTGGTGATGAATTCCATCCTTGTGCAAGGTTCAGGACTTAATTATATTTAGTCATTCTCAAAATAATCCATTCCATTAAGCCTCCCAGGCAAGGGAAAATTCCTAAACATTAGATGGTAAAAAGTCATAGAATTAGAGAACTGGAAGGAACAAGGTGATCATGTAGTTCAACATTTCATTTTAGTGGAAAGACCACTGCCCACAGGAATTCAGTGACTTTTCCAAGGTCTCACAGCACCCTGGTAGACCTGGTAGAATTGAGATAGGAACCAGATATCTGGATTCTGAGCCAGCCCCTGAGCATGTCAGACTGTGACTGTCAGCACAACTTTTCTCTTGGCCAGTAGGGTTACACACGTTAAAAACAAACAAGCAAAAGACAGTAAGCCAAAAGACCAGATAAAATCAAATTGGGGCTCTAATCGACATTTATCAAGAAGGCAAGGAAACTGGATCCTTCCCTATTTTTTTCCCAGAAAAAAACATCATCCATGGCATCTTTTGAGACCGCACTCTGTTCTTGTTTCATTTTCCTCCCACTTTCTCCAAGAAACAGACTTCACAATGCTCCTCTATGTCATTAACATTCAAAGTGTGGCACGGTTTGCAAAGTGCTGGCCTTTAATTGTTGAAATAAATATCCAACTCAATGATGAATGTACTTTAGAAAGTCATGGCAGGCACTTCATTAATGGGAAATAAAATGGTATTAACTATATGGCTGGAGTAATTTTGTTTTCAAAGATCAAAAGTTCAACATTTCACTTGATAGCTTAAAAAACGGGAAAATAAAGATTGGCCCATGTTTAAAAAGAAATTTTCTCTAACACCTCAGTGATTCTTAACTTTGTGTGAGGCCACAGATCACTTTATAAGCCAATACTAAGGACATCCTTGTCCTTCTCCCTCCACTGCACAAACACCAAATGCTCAGGAAGTTTTCTTACATTTTCAGGGATCCATTGAGCCACAGAAGACCAACCACGTATTCTGTGGAGACATAACTCCCAGTGCAGAAGCCCCACACAAGAGAAACACCGATGCTGAAATTATGATTTCATAGATTCATCATCAAGATTTGATGTTAGTCAGAAAAATTTCCAGTTGTCATCCTACAAACCTAAGACTTTGGAAATAGGAAGGAAAAGTTTTATTTATTACTAGATTACATGACCTTGTTTATTACCTTAGGGTTTTTAGTGTTGAAGACTTTTTATTAGAAGTCAATCCTGGGGTATTTTGTACAGCAACTGAAAGAATAAAAGTTAACTTTGAAGCAAAAGGAGTCATTTTTTGTTAGCCACCAAGCAGGCACTCCTTGGGTTTCCTGGAATACAACCTGAAAAAGCAAAATCAAATTATTAGTAATTAACTTTTAATTAAAAGGAGTCATTTTTTTACTTTTGTTAGCCACTCTGGGACAGAAGCTGAAAGAGTAGATTAAACATTTAAGCACAGATTACACCTCCCCCACACTAGGGAGGGACAATTGTAACAGGGTGGTCCCCAGGAAAGGGGGAGGTTCCATGTTCCCTGCCCCACCCAAGGGAGGGTGGAGCTGAGCAGGAAGAGGAGAAGCTGCAGAAGAGACTGAGAAAGGAAGGAAGCAGGATGGAGCCAGGAGACCTGGAGGAGGCGCATGGAGCCTAGAGACACGTGAAGAAACTGCGCTTGTCTTTTGGTCGTGGACGGGGTGACACAGATGTGGGTGAGACCCGTGGGGAGGTGACAATGGCAGCTTTTATCTTGATGTTGATTTTGCTCTTTTCCTTCCGGGCTTGTTTGGTTGTTTCTGACTCTTTTCTGTGGGTCCCCACTGGAAGGTGCTTTAGACTTGTGGCAGGCTTTGGGGCCTTGCTCTGGGCCAATCCCATATGGATGGACTTTTACCCACGAGGGGACGGGTAACTTTGGGTGCTTCATTTAGAAACTAGACTCTTGGCCTTACCTGTATTGTTTCCTAGTTTTATTAAAGTTCCTTCCCATTAAAGTCTCCTATGTTTTGTGTTGATGCGGCGGATGGCAGAACCCATTTAGAATAGGCAGGTTTGTGGGATTTGGGCTGCCCCTCTCCCTGTCCTATAACACAACAACAACACAGGTATGAAAACCTGGTACAGTTATATGATGCACCCTAGAGTGCTTTCCACAACAGACCTTCTTCAGTAGGAAGCAGAAACTTAGAATTTTGTCTTACACCAGCAATTGAACAAATTAAGTATTTAAAATGGCAAACATGCCCCCCAAAAAATTGTGTAGACAAAATTCACAGTAGCAAATTTTTTCAGACTCAGACAAAATTTTGTTAATTTTTTTTATCCAGACTTTGCAAAAATTTAAGTTATTTCCAAGAATCCATCAAGGATACCAGCAATTACCAGTTACTGCTTAAGGCAACTCTTTCCTTAACACCCAGGCATACATTTGCTAATTAAAACACCACTGCTCCACAGTTGGCTTGCAAAACCAGTCGGACACAGGGCAGGAAGTAGTCAAAGACAAAGCAACATATTAATGAAGAACCATTATTGCCTTTAGAAATGCTAATGAGACAGCAGAGATTACAAAAAGAAAGAAAAAAAAGTTCCAAAGTCCTAGCAACAAGAACCTCTGAATTTTACAAGAGCACTCCAAGTGCCCTCAGATGCCATCTTTGATCTGGCCACATGGTCCAATGTATTGCCTAATCTTTTGAGTAAAACTGGCGCAGAACAATTTTCACAAAATCAAATGTTTTAGTAAGTCACTACAAACAAATTACATACAGACACACAGATCTTCACAAAGCCCAAGCCAGTTTTTCAACAGCAAATCGACATATGAAACAAACACTGGAGAAACCAAAATCACATTTGCGCTTATGGTAGCCTGTGCCATAGGGAAGCCCAGTTTCCCCATGGGGCTGACTAACCACGGATGGCTCTGTCCTAAATCACGTTGGACGCCAAATCTGTTATAGGACAGGGAGAGGGGCAGCCCAAACCCTGCAAACCTGCCTATTTTAAATGGGTTCTGCCATCCGCCGCATCAACACAAAACATAGGAGACTTTAATGGGAAGGAACTTTAATAAAAACTAGGAAACAAT